GGCATGAATAGAGCATCTATAGGATAAATTCCATCGTCAAAGTGAAGGTCCGCTTTGTTGAAATATCCGCGATTTCTCTCTATTTTTAATCCAATAAAAAAATCAATAGGTTCTGTCAACCAAGCTATATGTTGTGTGTTATCAACGATTTGTACATGAGGGGGTAATATTATATCTTGGGCAGTTACATGTCGAGGTCCCTTGATACAAATAGACGCATCACAAGTTCCATATTGATTGCTCCTCAATACAATTTCTTTCAAATTCATTAAAATCTCATGTATCGATTCTTGAATCCCGCCTATGGTAGAATACTCATGCGAGGCTTTCTCAGATTTTACACGTGTGATACATGTCCCTTCTATTTCTCCCAGTAAAGCTCTTCGCATCGCAATTCCTATTGTATCGGCTTGACCTTTTATAAGTGGAGATAGGATAAAGCGGCCATAAAAAAGGCGTTTACTGTCTATTCTTGATTCAACACATTTCCACTGTAGTGTCCGAGTAGATACTGCTACTTTCTCTCGAACCATAAAAATTTTGATTTAGTATATTAGTGAATCTTCTATTTCTCTTGATATAGGTTCACTTTTGATTTCTACACACGTCGTTTTTTGGGGGGTCTACAGCCATTGTGTGGCATAGGGGTTATATCCCTTATAAAAGTTAATAGTAGACCGCTTCTATGAATAGCTCGTAATGCTGCATCTCTTCCGAGACCGGGACCTTTTATAAATACTTCAGCTCGTAGCATACCTCGATTCATTACTTTACGAAGAGCATTTATTACCGCGGTTTGAGCAGCAAAAGGTGTTCCTCTTCTGGTTCCTTTGAATCCAGAAGTACCGGCAGAGGACCAAGAAACTACCCGTCCCTGTACATCTGTAATAGTCACTATGGTATTATGGAAACTGGCTTGAACATGAATTACTCCTTTTGGTATTCTACGTGCATTCTGACGTGAACCACTACGTCCGCCCTTTCTACGCGAACTAATTTTCGATATATATTTTACCATTAAGCATTTTTTAAATCTGAGTCAGCGATACACTATATGGATATATCCATTTCACAATTCTTTCATTTATAGAATTGGTTTAGTTACTAAGTTAAGTTGCGAAGTCTTATTATCCCTGTCGTTGTTTATGTCTGGGATTGGAACATATTACTATAAGTCGTCCCCTTCTCCGTATTAATCGACATCTGTCACAAATTTTACGAACAGAAGCTCTTATTTTCATATAAAGACTCCTTACATTTCTTTTAAATTTACTTTAGAGTTTCGGTTTTATTGGAAGATTCTAATAAATACATTCATTTTTTTCTATTTTAAATTTATAATTTTGTTATTCTTGCTAAATGAATAGCTAAGTTGAGAAACGACTCCTTTGAATCATTGTTGTGTTGCAAAAGATTCATCGACTTGTTCTGAAGTAAACTAAAAAAGGATTTAGCCTATTTTCACAAACAGAACTTAAAAAAAAAAAAAGAAAGTGATTTTTGTTCTTTATTGTGATCTTTAAAATATTACCATATATAACACAAAATTTCCCCCCCGATTCTTTGCAGTCGGGCTTCTCGGTCTGTCATTATACCACGTGAAGTAGAAAGAATTACAACCCCCATCCCGCCTAAAATTTTAGGTATTTTTTTAGACGTAGAATACATTCGTAGACCGGGTCGACTTATCCGTTTTAAATTTAGAATATTGCTAAAGGTCCTTTTTTTAGTCTTGATATGTTGCAGAGTTAAAACTAAAAAATTCTTGTTGTTTTCTCGATGTTTTCTCACACTTTCAATAAAACCTTCTTTTAAAAGGAGTTTTACAATCTTTTCGTTAATATTACTGGATGGGATTCGAACCATTCTTTTTCGATCCATATCAGCATTCCGTATAGAAGTTATTATCTCAGCAATAGTGTCCCTACCCATGATAAACTCTAATTATGGGACTCAAAAATTTTATATTCTCAACGTGTTTTTTTTATTGTCTATGGATTATTGTGTTTATCTTACTTTAATTTTAATCTTAAAATTATATACGTGAGACAGATTCTACTCCATTTTTTTTTTTGAATTTTTTTTATAATACCTCAGGAGCTAATGAAACTATTTTAGTAAAATTTAATTGTCTCAACTCCCGGGGGATTGGACCAAAAATTCTGGTCCCTTTTGGATTTCCTTCTTTATCAATAACAACTGCGGCATTATCATCATATCGTATTATTATCCCGTTGCCGCGTTTTAGTTCTTTACAGGTACGCACGATTACGGCTCTAACGACTTCAGATCTTTGTAGAGGCATATTAGGTACAGCTTCTTTGATAACAGCAACAATAATGTCACCAATATAAGCATATCGACGATTGCTAGCTCCTATTATTCGAATACACATCAATTTTCGAGCCCCGCTGTTATCTGCTACATTTAAAAGGGTTTGGGATTGAATCATAGCATTTTTTTTTATTCTTTTCTTTCACAATGCAAAGGGCGAAGAAAAAAAGAAATATTTTTTGTCCACAAACATAAAACGAAACTTATTTTTTTGTTTTTGTTTCATTCTTAAGATTCTTTGGGGTAGTTTTAGAGTGATATTTTCTATTCTATCTCCGAAATAATGAATTGAGTTCGTATCGGCATTTTCGATGCTGCTATTGAAATAGCTTTTCTGGCAATATTTTTTGTTACTCCACCCATTTCAAAAAGGATCCGACCGGGTTTAACAACAGCAACCCAATATTCAGGGGATCCTTTTCCTGAACCCATACGTGTTTCTGCGGGTCGTACAGTAACTGGTTTATCAGGAAATATACGTACCCATATTTTTCCTCCACGACGTGCATTTCGTGTCATTGCCCGTCGGCCGGCTTCTATTTGTCTAGATGTGATCCAAGCGGGTTCAAGTGCTTGAAGCGCATATTTACCGAAACAGATATGATTACCTCGAGAAGCTATTCCCTTCATTCTTCCTCTATGTTGTTTACGGAATCTGGTTCTTTTGGGGTTATAGTTGATGGATTTTTATTTATTACATCTCTACTACAGAACCGGACGTGAGAGTTTCTTCTCATCCAGCTCCTCGCGAATTACGAATAAAGGATTTACAAAATGAGCTTTTGACTAAAATTGATTAATCATAGTGAAGATATCTAAATCTTCAATCTAAAGATAGATACTAAGATAAATACTACAAATCTAAATATAGATAATAAGATCTATAATAATAATATGGACTGAGAAGTCCAAATAATATTTAGGAATTGAGTGATATTTTTTTTCAATCTATTTGAAATAAAATGACTTATTCTACACTTTTTTCATGATTCTCTGAGTCTAACTAATCCTTCTTTTTGACTATTCTTGAATATTGTCTTTATATTGCTTTTTGATTCTTTTGCAAAAAGTTTTCGCGGGCGAATATTGACTCTGTCAATTTAGATTTCATTTCTAGGACGAGCCTGTTACATCTTCTAGCTACTATCTAGAAATCAAATAATTTAACATTGGTTTATTTCGCCATCCCAGCCAGTGAATATTTAAGATTTTTTTTATTTAATCTTAAATTGAATCTTTTTTATTCATAAGTTCCGTCGTCCCCATCACTTCTTACTTAATGGTTAGGTCCTAATTTTACAATGGAGCTCAAATAGTAATATATGAATAATTTGAGTCTTGAGCCATTTTTCTTAGTCTTTATTGGCTTTAAGCTCTTTACTTTAAATTTATCTAATAATTATCTATTCTATAATTTAATTTCTATAATAAGAGTATATTGTTTTTTATTATTGAATATTCTTAGATTTTTTATTCTATTTCAAATACTTGAATATGCAGAATTTAAGTATTAATGCTTCATTACATTGCCTATTTTGTTAGACCCTACATATTGGAATTTTCAATCATTGAGCTTATTTTTCTTCCTTTCTCTCTCCCTTCCAATTATCTACATCTTTTTTATATCTTGCTTGGCAACTTCAATAATATTTGAATAATTTTTGTTTATGCAAATAAATGGCAATTGCTACAACGATATGAGCGCTAATCATATCATGACTGGTTATTTAGATCCAGATAATGCGAAATTGATGAGTTAGTTATTAGGTAATTTCTTCTCGAGTGAGTAGTTGTTACTTTGGGTTTGGTTTCATGCTAACCTTAAAAAATGAACGAGTCGCACACTAAGCATAGCAATGATATTTTTATTAAAAAATAAATAAAATTTTTATTCAACCTTATAGAATTCATTATTATCAATTAGAAATCAATTAGAACTGTTCCTGCTCATTACACAAAATAATTTGTGAAATGGGCCGCTTGGTATTACAGGTAAAAAGAATGAATAAAATTTTATTGAGCTTCATCAAAAAATATCCAAATTTTTATGCCTAAAACCCCGTAGATAGTTCGAACTGAATAACAACAATAATCCATTTTAGCTTGAATAGTTTGTCGGGGAACTCTTCCTTCTCTTATCCATTCCACACGTGCAATTTCCTTTCCGTCAAGGCGTCCCGCAATTTGTACTTGAATTCCTTTTGTATCTGCTTGTTCAGCTAATTCAATAGCTTTTTTCATTGCTTTTCGAAAGGAAACTCTATTCTTTAATTGTCCAGCTATAAATTCGGCAAGAATATTAGGATTTCCATACGGTTTTTCAATTTTTGTGATAGCAATATTCAGTTTTCGGTTTACAAAATTTAATTTTTTTTGTAGAGCTTTTTGTAATTCTTCAACTCCCTGTGGGCTATTTTCCATAAATATTTTTGGAAATCCCATATATATTATGACTTGGATTAGATCGAGTCTTTTTTTAATATATATACTTGCAATTCCCTCGGTAGCCGAGGGTTTGATTCTATTTTTTTGTACATAATTTTTGATAAAAGCTCTTATCTTTTGATCTTCTTGCAGATTTTCAGCATACGTTTTTGGTTTTGAAAACCAAAGTGAATAATGGGCCTGGTTTGTACCAAGTCTGAAACCAAGTGGATTTATTTTTTGTCCCATAAATACCTCCTATTCTGGATATCAGAATATGCTTTAGTTCTAGAATTTTTTTTCGCTTGTGGTTTTTTTAGCAAACCGAGCTCCACAGATTCAGAATCATTGAATGAAATATCTTTTAGTACAATACTGATATGGCAGGTCGGTCTTTTTATTGGATAACTACGCCCACGAGCCCGAGGTTTTAATTTTTTTCGAGCAGTCCCCTCATTCACTTCAGCTTTACTAATAACTAAATTTGCTTTATTTGCAGCCATAGTGTAACTAGCATTTGATGCGGCTGAATAAACCAATTTTAAAATTTGATAACTGGCACGATAGGGCATGAGTTCTAATATAATAAGTGTTTCCTCATAGGAACGCCCACGAATTTGATAAATAACTCTTCTTGCTTTATTAGCCGACATAGCTATACGTCGACCTAAAACGTATACTTCTGGGGTTTTTTTATTTAGCATCTGGTACATAAAGTTTGCCTCCTACTAATGACTCATAAGCATCAAGATATTTTTTAGTATTCACATTACCGATGAGATCTATTATCATTTTTTGCATGTCCTCGAAAATTTAAAGTAGTTGCAAATTCTCCCAATTTGTGTCCGACCATATGATCCATTATATAAATAGGGAGATGCTCTTTCCCATTATGAATCGCAATAGTATGACCAATCATTATTGGAATAATAGTAGATCCCCGGGACCAAGTTATTATTATTTCTTTTTCTCTCCCTTTATGTTAAGTTTCTCAATTTTTTTTAATAAATTCTGAGATACAAAGGGATTTTTTTTTAGTGAACGTGCCACAGTTTACTCCTATAAATTTTATTATTCTTTTATTTTTTTATTTTTCATATAATTGAATGAAGAAATTTAATTTGCTCTATTCTATTAATTTTGATACTATAATATATTATATTAACTGCGATGACGAAGAATGAGCTTCTCACTATATTTATTCCTCTTTCTAGTTTTTCTTCCAAGTGCGGGATAACCCCAAGGGGTTGTAGGTTTTTTTCTCCCAATAGGGGCTCTACCCTCACCGCCCCCATGTGGATGGTCTACGGGGTTCATAGCTACTCCTCTAACTACAGGACGCTTACCTAGCCATCGTTTAGCTCCAGCTCTACCCAAATTTTTTTGGTTGAACCCAACATTTCCGACTTGTCCGATTGTTGCGGAGCAATTTTGGGATATAAAACGGACCTCGCCAGAAGGTAATTTTAATGTGGCTGATTTACCCTCTTTTGCAATCAGTTTCGCCATTGCACCCGCTGCTCGAGCTAATTGTCCACCCCTTCCACGTGTGATTTCTAGGTTATGTATAGTCGTGCCTAAGGGGATTTCGGTCAAAGGTAGGGTATTTCCAATTTTGATTGAAACATCTGTACCAGAAACAATCGTATCTCCAATTTGAGCCCCTCTCGGATGTAAAATATACTTCTTCTCACCAGTCCGATAATGTATTAGACAAATGTTTGCATTTCTATTAGGGTCATATTCTATGGTTATGATTCTACCATATAGGTCTTTTTCATTCCGTCGAAAGTCTATTTTACGGTATAGGCGCTTATGACCCCCCCCCCTATGCCTTGATGTAATGATTCCTCTAGCATTACGACCTTTACCACAATGATGCTTTCCAGAGAGCAAATTTTTCCTTCGAGCAAATTTTGGGCTGTTTACGGTTTCGCTCGGGTTATCAGTTTTGTATAATTTTATTCCCATGATATTAATGATTTTTATTTTGGATTGAAAGTTTATTTGTTTGGAGGCATACGTCTAATTCTCTGCGGTAGCCATTGCATTATATGTCCTCTAATAGGGAGGGCCTACCATTATGTGACCCTTTGCCAGAAGCGTAGCACTACTCAAAGTTTATGACGTGGACATAAAAAAACTATTTATTATTTTTTAATATTTTAATAACTAAATCCGTTTTTCTGTAAATACTATATCTTTTATTCCATCCCGAATTTGAGTATTAGTTTAAGTTGAAACTAGTTAGTTCGAGTAAAGAATGTTTTTGTGAATAAGTGTTCCTATATTAAGTGTTCCTATATATATATATAGATATATATATATATCTAATATAGATATATATTCTCTATATGTATTGGTATCCTAGAATTATCTATTATGATATATGAAAATGATATATGAAATGGAAATAGTCAAAATAAAATCTATCTAGGAACATATATCTTATATGATATTTGATTGATTTGATATGGACAAATTTATCTAGGAGCATATATATCTTATATGATATTTGATATGGATTATGAAGGAAATGCTCAAAGTAGATCTATGTTAATATATATCATATAGCCTAAAATATCACAAAAAGAAGAATTGGAGGGTCAATAATATTTTGTTTTGTGTAAATGACTAATAATGTGCATCCAGTAGGAATTGAACCTACGACTTCGCCAATTATGAGTTGGGCGCTTTAACCACTTAGCTATGGATGCTTAAACGAGACCATCATCTATCAAAATTGAAAATTAAAATAGAATAATTATGGCAATTTTTAATCTTGGAATATTTAATTACATTGAATTACAGCAAAAAATGTCGTTTAGATAAAGAATTTATGAAATCTGAAATACTAAACAAAAACTAGATTTCTTTTATCTTCTATATTTCTTTTATCTTCTATATTTAATATTTAATTATATAATATTATATTTATATATAATAATAATATGATATAATAGATATACAATATAGAATACAATAATAAAAGTATTAATACTTTTTAATACTTTATACAAAATTTTAGGGAGGTATGAAATGAATCCTAAGCCAGAAAAGTTCTGGATTTTCGAGTTACGAGAGATACTGAGAGAGATTAAAAAATCAAAATATTTTTTAGATTCATGGACCCAATTGAATGCAATCGGATTTTCAATTCATATTTTAGTCTCCCAAGAACGATTTTTAAAACTGTTTGACCCACAAATTTGGAGTCTTATACTTTCACCTAATTTGCAAGGTTCAAAAAGAAATAGATCAATCAAGATTAAGGGAGTTTTACTAGTTTTCGTTGGCGTTGTTATATTTATATATCGTATTAGCAATCAAAATATGGTTGAAAGAAAGAATCTCTATTTAAAAAGACTTTTTCCTATACCGATGAATTGCAGTGAATCCATAACTGATCAAGATAGTGGTTATTCTACTCTAAATCGATTAAGTATTTTACTCCTTTCTTTTCCAAAAGGCAAAAATCAAGTTGATATTGATTTAATGAATCCAAACTATAATACTCGGGTTTTACCAATAAAAAAAAACCCTAACATGCCTCAATCAAAGTCAGATTCGCCGCAGGGGAAAAACTTTATTAGAGAAATTATTAGACGAACTAGAACGGAATTTAGAGAAATTCCAATGAAACTTCTTGGTTTCAATCTGGTATTCTTAAAAGAGAAAAAATCGCTTGAGTTTCCTTATAATTCCACAAGATCTAGTTCCTTACAAGTAAAAGATTTCGGCCAACCGAAAGGATCCTTGGATAGAAATTTTTTGGATTCTATTAGAAATGAGGATTCGGAATATTCTAAATTAATCAATCAAAGAGAAATTAAACAACGAAAACAAAGATCAACTTCTTGGGATCCTTACCTTTTTAAAACGGAACAAAAAGAGATCAAAGGCCGTAAACCAACGCTAAGCCTTCCGTTTCCGAAAGAAAGGGAACAATCTCGGGGCAATGCCCCGAGGTCCCTTTCTTCATTTTACTCTGATAGATGGTCAGAACTTTATATGGGATCAACTCCTATTGCTAAGTCCACTATGGATCCGAAATTTAGGAATAAATCTCTTTCTTTTGTCCGGCAAGCGGAAAAAAAAGAAATAGTTAATCTATTTAGAATACTTATGTATTTAAAAAGAACTGTTTTAATTAAGTCTATTTCTTTTGATCCCCAAATAAAAAATTCGAAGAATACTGGATTTCTTAAAAAAACTCCATTATTTTATTTTGTTAACCGATTTCTTGAAAGTAAACAAGGAAGCTATGTGCTACAACATGATTGGAAATCAAAAGAAAAATTACAAAAAAGTCCAGGTTTATTTATTCTGACAATAAGCGAGCCGGATCCAGTCTATAATAAGGGCTTTACTTTTTTTGTGAATATAGATTCATATGGATTGCATAAAATCAAATTATTGAATCAAATATTAAATACTAGGACTGACTCGAAAAATCAATCTTTGTTGGTTCTTTCGCCTATTTTTTTTCGTTATAAGGAGAAGAACTATTTTTTTCAACGAACGGGACAAAACTACGTCTGGATTGAAGCAGTGAATCAATGTATATCTATATTGATTCACAATCTGATTCAAATGCAATCTAATACCTATGTGTACATAAGAAATCTATTGAATCAATTTGTTTTCATAAATATATCCAATTGCAATTTCAAATATCGAATTAGGAGAATTCAAGGGGATCAAAAAGAAATGGGTCTTCTCAATCATCTAACTCATATGACATTTAAAATAAAAACGGGTCAACCATATAAATCCAAATGGTCAAATGGGACAAAGAGTTTACAAGAAAATTCAAAACATTTTCTTGATGAGCAGAAAAGACTTTTTAAAATGTATGTTCAAGTCCGAAAGGGCTATTTGCAAATGATGTTTGAGAAAGTTTATCAATTCTCTATTTATATTATTGATAAAATAACTGAGAAATGGATTTATTGGTCTAAGGTTCGCAGGGAAGTAGAAATCAAAGTAAAAAAAAATGTGTATAAGTTAATTCCTTTAGTTTTTACCAAGTTGTCGAAATCAGTACGTTTCTTCTTTTTGCCCCAGTCACTTCGTTTTTTTTTTACGAAGGGATTTCACTGTATGATCAAGTTGCTTTTGTTTTTGTCTAATTCACTTGGTTTTTCCTTTGTAAGTTTTGGTACTAGTCCTGTTCAGAGGTCCGAAATCTATATCTATGAATTAAAAGGACCGAACGGTCAACTTTGTAATCAGTTGTTGGAATCCATAGGTTTTAAAATTATTTATTTAAAAAAATTAAACCCCTTTTTGTTGGAAGAGTCTGGTACGTCGAACTTTGTTATCAATGAAACAAAGAGATCACCCTTTTTGTTTAATAATATAGCAAAAGGGCGGATTGATGCATTGCTTACTAGACAAAAATATTTTGATGAAAAGGGTAATGGGTTTCATCCCATGAACCTATTTCAAAGAAGTTCACTGATATCCGCTTTTTATAAAGCAAATAGACTTTGTTTCTTTAATATTCGACCTAACTCTAACTTCTGGTTAGATTGTAAGAGAAGATTTCCATTTTCTATCGAAAGGGCTCGGAATACTAATTCGTATTTTCTCTATGAGCAATTTCTAAATAGATTGTTCCTTGGGAATCAAAAAGTTTCTTTAGGTGGTGGGAAAAAAAGAAAGGTTTTTGGGGTTGGGGATAGAGCTACTATTTCACTAATTGATTCCTTATTTAAGGATTTTGTCAAAAACAGTGATCCACGGTATAACTTTGAGAATTCTTTTAATTCTGTAAGGCAATCCGATCCAGTCATGCCTAATTTGATTCTCAAGACTTTTGGAACCTCTTCTACAGAGGAAGAAATAGTCAATTTGGAAACAACTTATTGTCAACCGTTTTCAGATATAAATAGAAATATATATGATTCAGAAGAAAATCACTTTCATGAATATCCTAATTTTAATTTAAATATGGATTTGGTTGACATTCCCTGTTCTGATAAATATTTTTCATTTCAAAACAAAAAAAATCGAAAAAAAGGCGCTGCGTTTCAGAAAAGACGGATGGCAACAACTTTTCATAGAGAGAATTTTTTTTCCATTCTATCAGAAAAATTAAATCTTTTCCAAATCAATTTGCC